GAAAGGCGTAAGAGAACATTCGCGCACGAGTTATTACACGATCGTCATTACGTAAAATATGGACATAGGAAAAAAGGTATAAACTTTAACTAACTTTACTGCTAATTCGAGTTCGAATAAGTAATCTTGTGTGTGTGTGTGTGTGTGTGTGTGTATGTGTGTGTGTGTGCGTGTGTGTGTGTGTGTGTATGTAGATGTATATGCTCATTAATCCTTTTCACTTAACAAATGTCATCTTCGACAGCTTTGTTAACCTGGAAGCGGCCATGATGGTCGAGAACGACTGGGGGCGTTGGGGGTGTCAACGAACAGCTGTTTCTAGATGTCGACACCACAGTGTCCACGGTGAGTGCATGCGGAAGCGACGACTGCTCACTGAGCAAAAAAAGGATTAATCTATTATTAATATGTTTATTTATTATAATTCGTAACGTAAAATAACTTTGTCTACTATAGATATAATCTTTAATATCATCTTTCTTACTTATTTATTACTGTTTATTATTTCTCTAATGCCATGTTTGGGCCGTAAGGCTAAGGTTATGTAGTGTTCAATGAGTGATGGAACGTAATTTTAAATCACTCCACTGAGCGCATCAAGTGCACGATATAAACTAAGCAATTCAATCGCTCGATAAACATGCCTAGAATTTTATATGGGTGCTTTCCCACTTGAATACTTAGAGTATGATCAACATGATGTTGCAAATGTTTTGAAGCGTTTTTTAATTGGTCAGTTTGTAAAATTCTTTCTTCTAATTGGTCCATCAAAGCATTTGTAGCGAGACTTTGACCATAATTTAATAAATGATAAAAACAGAATGATGATTATAAGCGCTTAAGGCTGTTTTCTCATGCTGACGCTTGACGCTCATTTTGAACGTCAAAATAGGTCACGTGATCAAAATTGATACTTGGTATTCGTCAATTTTGATTACGCGTCTAACTCTCGAATGAAAATGAAGCCTAAAGCGCGTGAATAGCACATGGCTGCTTTAATTAGGTAAGAATATCATCAATCAGAAATCGCCGATGTTGCTTCTCTCATATAGGATGCTTTCTATTTGATAACACAAGCGTCATTTTATCCTTGTTGACATTCAGAGAGTGACAAAGATAGAATGACACTTGTGTCATCGACTTGTGTCATCAAGGTTGCGATCAAAGTCTCGCTATAAATGCTTTGAAGCGTTTGATGGACCAATTAGGAGAAAAAATTTTACAAACTGACCAATTACAAAACGCTTCAAAGCATTTGCAACATCGTGTTGACCATACTCCAAGTATTCAAGTGGGAAAGCACCCTATAGTATTCTAGGCATGCGAGCGATTGAATTGCTTAGTTTATATCGTGCATCTTGATACACATACTGACTAGTAACTTTCTATTAAATTATTTTAATTTCAACGATATATTCAAAGAATAATGTACTAAACTGATACAATATGCATCAAAATGATTAATTAAGTATGTATTACACTAGTGCTTGTAGTGCTTCTACTGACCTATAGCAGAGAGAAACCTGGCAATAGTACATATGTGCGTGATAACATACTATAATTTTTCTTTCGTACAAAAACTTTTCTTACAAAGAAATTCTATAGCAGGTAAATATATATTTACACTTTTATCGTTCGATTGTTTGTGTATTTTCAGTATATCATATGTAGCGATAGCAAAGTCAATTTTACGATAACAGTATGCGGTTATAATAAATGCTAATATAAACGAATTTCAAAGTTTACTTAAGTATTAGAAATATATTTGTATTAGAAATATATCTTATTTAATGTAAATATAAGACTGAGGAAGCGTACACATAATAAAAGGACCATGGAATGTAACGCAAATAAAAGAAGCAATGACAGCATGAATGTGATTGAAAAAATTGCAATGGAGGTGCAACTTGAAAAATCGACTGCCGATGACCTGGCTGTTAGTGGGAATAATAATGTAGCATCGGTGATAATAGAAGAATTGGATGAAAGTGCTATTAGTTCAATGGATATGGATATAAATGAATTTGTCGAAGCAAAAGCATTACAGATAAGAGATGTAACAGATGTTATTCCAAATTCTACATTCTCTCCATCATGTAATTTCAACAAGGATAACATGGACATGGAAGATCAGGATATGTTGTTAACTATCGACGAAGAAGATCAGCTAACAAAACAATTTTTAAATGGCGAGTTAACATTCAGTGAGTATTCGTCCAGAATGGATCAGGATACAGATTTAGAGATGATAGAAAATGATACCTCCAGGTATGGGTTATATATACATATTACATTTTAATTATTTTGACAATCACGAAATTCACATTTGTGATGCTACTTTTAGAGCAATAATTGGATTTGATCATGTTGCTGTACAAAAAGTTGTAGAACAAAAGCAGCATAAAACAATTAACGTGCGTCAAAAAAAAAAAAGGCGCGTTTTACCACCAGTTTTACAAGGACTTATGGGAGAGGCAAATTTGAGATTCGCAAAGGGAGAGGTAGATTTAGCAGCTAAAATATGCATGGAGATCATTAGGCAAGTTGTCTTAGTGTATCACATTGACATATAACGTTTGGTTAAAATTTTTATGTAACAAGTAAAAAACACTTGCTAATTTTTTAATTATTTCTTAGACAAGTACCAAGCGCTCCAGAACCGTTTCAGACGTTAGCTATGATATATGAAAATGATCAGCCAGAAAAGTCGTTGCAATTTGCTTTAATTGCTGCGCATCTTAGTCCTAAAGATGCTGATCAGTGGGTAAGATTGGCTAACTTGTCATTGGAAAGTGGCGATATAAAGCAAGCCATAACGTGTTACTCTAAAGCGATTCAAGCCAGTCCAAAGGACATAAGTTTATATGAAACAAGAGCACAGCTTCAAGAACAAAATGGCGATAAAAAAGCATATTTGCGGGGATATACAAAACTGATTCATCAATTGGAAGCCGAGGATGGTGAATATATAATGAAATACGCAAAGATGTTAGCCAAACGTTATATGCAAGAAGATAACAATGAACAAGCATTGGAAGCAGTAGAGATTATCTTTGTCAAATGTCCTGATCTCATTACATTAGAAGAAGTTAATATTATGACTGAATTATTAATAGCGCTAAAGCAATTTCAGAGATGTTTAGATATACTAGTAAAGTATACAAATATTCAGATACGATATAAGAAGAAAGAGGAGAAAGAAGAAAGAATAGTAGCCAATAATGCAAAGGCCGATAAGGAAGAAGAGTGTAGTAATGCAAAACGAAAAGCAGTATCTCCGACATGGAGAAGCCAAAATAGTGACGAAATAGAATCTTGCGATGTACCAGACAACGTCGTTGTTGACTTAAAGGCAAAATTTCTCATAATTCTCATTGAATTGGATTATATTTCGATTGCTGAAAAATTGTTACCAAACTTTTATATGCGCGAAAATCCAGAGATTTCTGGAGATCTCTTTTTAGATGTAGCGGAAGCACTGATGGGCAAGAAAGAATTTCATCGCGCTATGATTTTGTTGGATCCGTTAGTCAAAAGCTCGAATTTTAGTTTGGCTGCAGTTTGGCTGAGACATGCCGAATGTTGGGTTGGTTGTAATGATGTGGATAAAGCTATAGAATCTTACGAAGCTGTTCGAAAGTTGTCACCACAGCATTTAGGCGCAAGATTAGCTTTAGCTAAACTTTATAAAAAGTCGGAACGTTATGATAAGGCGATACAAGTTCTCTACCAAGATCCCGAATCCGATACATTAGATTCTGACGTTCTGTATCAAAGAACACTACTACTTTTTAAACTTGGAAGATACGAGGAATACTTTTCCTCGGGAATGTTACTTTTCTCACGACATTGTGTTAATATAAGAAGAAAGGTTGAATTAAACGCATTAGCACGCGCAACGGGTGTTCGGCAACGACTTGACAGCCTACAACTTCGTCGTTTATCATGTGGAGAAAAGTTAGAAGATGAAAATGCACCAACGTTCACCACTAACGCAAGACCGAGCGAAAAAAATGAATTTCTACTTTTTCTACAAATGTGTAAACTAGCGTATAAATTAAACAAGTATGGTTTCCTTCAAAGATTATGTTTCACTGCTCTGACATCAAAGAGGTTTAAAAACAGAGACTCTCATATTATCTTTTTGTGTTTGGTTTCTTGCATTCATAATAAGGATTCGTTCTATGGTTACAATATTGTCCGAGAATTCGTACGTGTCTGTCAAAAGTCCAACTCGTGGAATTTGTTAAATATAATTATTCAAAGAGCAGAAGATTTGAGACACAACAGATTTATAATGCGATTACTTGGAAGAGACGTATTTTCATATTTGCATATTATGCATGCAAACAACTGTCTTGTTTCGGGAACTTACAAATATGCTCTAAACGGTTATATGTCTCTCTTTAAAGTAGCACCTAGTGCATTGTTAGCATTGTTAATAGGCGTGACGCAATTACATATGGCATGTCAAAAGATGTCAGCTAAGAAGAATCAGCTAGTAATTCAAGGTATGTATATTTTATATATATATATAGTTCAATAAGATAGGAATTGATTTTAAATTTCGCGCGCGCACATGTCATAATTCAGTTTACATTTAAAGAGCATTTAAAGCACAGTCTTCTTTCTTTTTTAAAAGTATTTTATTATATTTAAATAATGATGTAATATGTGTAACAATACATATACATTATTATATTACAACTACGTATTACTTTTTTTCTTTCTCTTTCTAATCTTTAATCTTTGTACACAGCGCTAGCCTTTTTCAAAAAATACATGCAATTACGTGGTGAAGAAGGTCAACAAGAAACTTACTATAATATGGCACGGGCATTTCATCAAATCGGTTTATTACCATCTGCGATTCACTTCTATAAGTTGGTCCTGAAGGAAAATCCAGGAGATTTAGTTAAACAGCATGCGAATCTTTTGGATCTAAAAAAGGAAGCAGCGTTCAATTTGCATCTCATCTATCTACAATCCGACAATCATCTTCTTGCTAGAATGTATCTTGAAAATTATATCACGGTATAAATTGAAACTGTGATATTTTATAGAATTTCTGCTTTTGTGTGCGTGTGCGTGTACGTGCGTGTAAACGAACGTATGCGTGTATGTATATAATAAGTTTCATTAAAGAACAGAACTCTTTGTAACGAAACACGTATTTAAAATTATTCTACTCTTTCATTGTACAATCTTCTCTTTCAAACAAGTGCGACCGATCAAACTCCCATTTCTGAAACAATCTCACTTTTTTATATATCTTTGCTATCGCTACATGGATTATATGATAAATAATAAATAATAACAAAATATATAATTTTTTGAAATTATATATTTTGAGATATAATCTCAAAAATGAAATAAATCATTCAATTCCTTAAGGTATTCCATATTAAAATAAATAAATAATCAATTTAAATTTCCTTTAGAGTAATGGCTATTGCTTTAGAGGCTAAAATTGAGTTTAAACAATTATGCGATACGTTGGAAGACGTTGCCAAGACACATGATGTAAAAAAGAAAGAACAAATTTTGCAAGCGTTTATCGACACGTGTCGAAATGTTGGCGATAAACTGAAAATAGAATATTCTGAATCGGTACGTACATATACTTTAAAGTAGAGCAGAGTTTTTTCATCCATTTCTCACGATAGTGTTTATATTTCTGAACAGCATATACTGAACATTTAAAGGTATCATACTTGTGCTCTCAAGAAACAATCATGATTGTATAAAATAATTATATAAACACTTACTGCAAAAAGATATTGTTTGCTGTAAATTGTATGGATTTCACTTTAAGGAATGAAACTGACGGCATAGCCCCGCTCTATCCTATACATTATGTGTGTTGGATAGAAGTATTGCTGCTATAGTTTGATCTATAGTTTGATGTAGATATAAAAATGATTAAATTTATTTGTGAGAAACTTTGGAGAAAATTATCGAAAATTGTTCAAAAACACGCTTTCATTTTTAAAAAAATATAAGAATTGTTAAAATTTCTATTCTAATCTAACGTATGACGATGTAGAGAGAGAGAGAGAGAGAGAGAGAGAGAGAGAGAGAGAGAGAGAGAGAGAATGTAAAGTGCATATTTTGTCGTCATTAGACTACGCCTATTAATCACAATGATAATACCTTATTAATATTAGCATTATATAAGCATTAACAAAGAGATTATCGTGAGATATTTTCTCTTTTTTTATCAATACAATTCTAAACAAAAAATTACAACATTCTTTAAAAAGCGACTTGGATGAAAGTATCCTGCAAATTTGTTCCGTAAAATAACATATTTTATGAATAAAGGAAAATAATACCAATGAGAGCCGAATGTGTAAAGTGATGTAACATATTTTATGACAATAATACGGCATTGTTATTATATCCCGGCTCTAATTATGATTTATGATTTAATTTTGTCTTAGGATGTGTCACTCTATCCTATCTTAAGATTGATACTACCCAATCTTGAACGACAGCGTGGACCGCATAATTTGAAGCAAGTTTCGTTAGCAAATCTTTACGCTCACGTATACGGTTTCGCAAAAAATAGTGACAGTTATAAAAAGTTGGCAAATTATCGGTTAGTATAATATAATCTTCCAATTGTAATCTAACCGTTTATGCTATAATCGATAAAGTATTTTGCTGGATATGTATACATATCTTACCTTATACAAAAATATACATATGTATATAAGAATTTTACTTCACAAATGTACATATACAGCTAACTAATACGTACGTTTCCTTGAAGAAATTTTCTTAAAAACATGCAACATTCTTATTTTAGAGATTTACTCTCGTCGGACAAATTTATAGGAAATGATTTCGCTGATCGAGCTTACTACGTGTTGAATAAAAAATTACCTCGAATCAATACTGGATTCACGATCGCACGGATTAACGAATTCCTTGATAGTATCTCCGGGAGAAACACGAGGCAGCAAAAAGTTGAAATGTTTCGAGTACTTTTCCGACAAATTACAGGATTTGAGATGAAGTGGATGACGCGTATCATTCTTAAAGATTTACGACTTAGTATAGGAACGCAAAGAATACTGCACAGTTCGTATAACTTAATTGCCTAATAACAGAATGTTTTGTATATATATAATAAATGTGTCTCACGACGCATTAAAAGACTAATTGCAGTCCATTTCTTTCAAGTCTATCATCCCGACGCGAATGATAAATTTCTTGTGACGAATGATCTGCGCGAGATTTGTAATCAATTACGTAATCCTAAGATCAAATTAAAAGAACACAGCATACAAATATTTTCACATTTTAAGCCGATGCTCTTAGAGAGATGTAATATCGAAAATATCGACAAATTATTTCGGAACAATGATTTGTACTATGTTCAAACTAAATACGATGGCGAGAGGTCGCAACTTCATATGAAGAATGGAAAATTTAAATATTTGACACGTAGAGGATACGACATCACAAACAAGTATGGATACGGAGAAACTGGATCTTTGGGTATGATGACGACGAATACTCCAAGTTGAATAAACAAGTTGAAGAAACAGTAAACAGAAGAGGAGCATATAGACACATGCAAGATGTTTGTAGCAAATGTCAGATATTTAAAAGTAGATATATATATATATTTAAAATTATTATGTTAACAATATAATTATATTGTGTTAACGTAATATATTTATATTGTTAACGTAATACTTTTAAATACCTGACATTCGCTACAAACATCTTGCATGTGTCTAATTTTAAATATATATATATATATATATACATACATACGACATTCGGCTATGAATATTTTGCGTGTAGCGATTATATGCTCCTACTTTTATTTACTGTTTGTCAATTTATATTATTTATTATCACTTAAAAAAAATTTGTTATTGTAAAATGAAGAAACTCACTCATAATTTGCTCGAATCGTTATTAATGTAGGTAGATAGATCGTACTTGATATATTATATATATTAAAAATTGGCTGTATAATAATGCATCGTCTGTACATTATTTATTTCATTTTGAAACTGTGTAGATATTGTGAAACTGTAAATATTATAATTAAATTACAATATTTCTGATAGGTTTTTTAACTGCGGTATTTACGCGGTGTTTGAATCCGAATTGTCATTCTTTAATATTGGATGGAGAATTAATGGCTTGGCATAAAGAGAAAAGAATATTTAGTACAAAAGGTATGAATCTCGATGTCAAAAATTTATCGGCGAGCAGTCGACATCAACCGTGTTTCGTTGCGTTTGATGTGATTCTGCATAATGATATCTTGCTCGTTGATACACCTTATAAAGACAGATTAAAGCTTCTCAACGATATATTCATCGAAGAGGAAGGTTCTCTAACTGTATGTCAATCTACTTTAATTTCAAACAGGTAAAATATTATGAAGAAAATGTCACAATAAGATAAGTCGTCAATGTTATCGGATTATTGTTTGGAAATTGAATGTCTACCAGATGTAAAATTATTTTCTCGTATGAAATTATTTTTTTTTAAGTAATAATTATTGCAAAAACAATAAGTGATTAATTATTGCCACTTTTGTCACAAGGGAAGAATTGATAAAGGAATTCAATATATGCCTCCGTAATAATGAGGAAGGACTTGTTATAAAGAAATGTAATATGAAATATAAACCAAACATTCGAGATGGCAACAGTTGTTATAAGATTAAAGCAGAGGTAAAGTTTTCTTCTAATATTATTTTATACCGTTATTTTAAGTTAAGTTTTTGTTGAAAATTTATCATATATATA